AGGAGGGGCAGGAGGAGGAGGAGGAGGAGGAGGAGGAGGAGGAGGAGGAGGGCCCCCCCGGCCCCTGCCTGCGCTCATCCGCCGCCACGGGTCTCCACGGCTGGCAGGCCGGCCGCTGCAGCTGCGGCTCGCCGCCTCCCCAAAAGGGGAGGCCAGCGCGCAACGTTTTCACACGCGCCGCCGAGGTGGCGAGGGCCGTTCTCCCTGAGACCCGACGTTCGGCGGGGCAGGAGCGGGGAGGCAAGAGGCTGGGCTTGAGTCGGGCCTGTCCCCTGGCATCGCTCGGACGTGTGCACTTTTTTCTCGGCGAGAACCATTGAGGACGATCCTGGACCAACGAGCAAAACGAACACGCACGAAACCGAACAATGCACGGGACATGGACGTCCGAGCGGTGGCGAGTGTCCCTCTACAGGAGGAGTATTCAAATCTAGTTACACATATCGTCTGGGCACGATTTCTTGAAACTATGTTAGACGTGTTTGGGGCTATGTTTGATTATGTTTTATCTTTTTGCCCAAATCCGCCTGCATGAGGACATGCCCGACCTAAGACTAGGGTGGGCCAGGCGGAGTGTGATTCTGCGGCTGCTCCTGGCAGCGTGGCACCATGTGGCCCTCTGGTGGGCCCTGTGGACGCACTCTGTGTGGCCCTGGCTTCTTGCCCCCACCCCGTGGACGTCCATCCGACTGTCGAGAGTAGTCGCGTGGTTGGCGGAAGGACAGCGAGGTCCTTCAGGTCTCTAGGGTTTGGCGCGTGCCTGGTAGTCATCTGCGGCGTGGTCTGCAGGTGTCCACCTCTGGCGTGTTCCGCAAGTGTGCGTGAAAATGGTCGGACAGGGCGGGCCTTGGACACCTGGATGATGAAATGCCTCCTACCCCTCTTCCTATCTTGTTCTCTTCCCATCTCCAGGCATAGGCTTTGGAGGAGAAGGAGAAGGAGGAGGAGGAGGAGGAGGAAGAGGAAGAGGAGCAAGTGGCAGCGGAGACCAATAAAGGACGTCGATTCAGCGGCCCTCTCGTTGCGTGACACCGTTGACACCCCGACATAGCCAGACTTCTGAGCAGCCAGACGCAGCCAGACACCGGCCATGCATTTACTGCTTTTCAGGCTGGGCCGTGGATCCCACATCCTCCTTCGCCTTTCCGCCTCCCCACCTCTCATCGCCAGCACCCCTTCCCTCCCTCCCCCTCCTTCGTCACCCCTCGCCTCCCCATTCTCCTCTGCCTCCGCCCCCTGCTTCCCCCCATCCTCTTCCTGCCGCTTGCTCCTCCGCGCCCTTGTTGCCCTCCGCCTGCCTCCTCTTCCCTCCGCCTCCCCCCCATGGGCACCCTCATTACCTCCTACCTCCTGCCTTCCCCCTCCGAGGAGGAGGAGGAGGAGGGGTAGGAGGGGGAGGAGGGGGATGGGGAGGGGGAGGGGGAGGGGGAGGAGGCCTCCCCCTCCTCCTCCCCCTCGCACAGGAGGCCGCGCCCCTCCTTGGGCCCCCCGCGGCCCCCGTGGGGGGGGGGGGGGCGCGCGGATGGTGCGCGGTGGTACGGCCGCGCACCGAGGGGCCGCGGCGGCGAGGCTGCCGGCGCTGCTTGTCGGCGTCTCGGCGCCCCAGGGTGGAGGGGCCTGCTGGGGGTTCAGTGTGCGAAGATCGGGGTCGGACAAGACGGGGGTGGTGACCAGAGGGTGGGGATATCATCATTAGCGTGGTCCATAATATTCCCTAAGATTTCATGGCGCCTCTTCTTGTTTCATTACGTCCCCAGCCCCCCCCCCACTGGGCCGCGCACATGCCGCCAGCCATGGTTTGCACCCCCTCTCTTGACGCCCCCCTCTTGATCGCCCCGGAGAAGACCGCCCTCTTCTCCTTCTACCCATCCATCATGGAATCCTCTCGGCTCAGGTATTGGACAGCGTGCCCGATGACTGTCGGGCCGTGAGAGGGAAAAGGACGCTTTCACTCTTTATCTCGTCCTCCATCTTCGGATTCGGTTGTAGGTTCGACCCTTCGGTTCGTATCCTTAGTTCACAGACTCGGAAGGGGCTCCGATTAATGCAGTTAACCCGCAGAGTAAGGACGAGCAGTCTGCCAAGGCTTACACAGCACGTGTCATGCTGGCCTGCTCGATGTAGTCCTTCGCGCTCCCCTCTCTCCCCCTGGTCCTCTTTTCCCCTCCCTCCCCTCCTCCCCTCCCCCTGGCCAGAGCAAGCGTTCGCGTGTCTGTTTCATATTTCACATCTAGTCGCGAGAGTGCGCTCCGACCCCATGGATGGAGGAAAGCGTCAATTAGACATCTACCGTGGCCCGTGGTACTCCTCCGGTACCGTGGTGCATCGCTGGTGATTTGAATTGGCGCCCATCTTACGCCAATGCGCTGCCGACGCACGCCGCCCTGTGTGCAGCGACCACGCCTACGACCCTAGCAGGGACGTCCCCTACGAGAGCCGTGGGATCCGGCATCGAGCTGAAGCTTGAGAACGTTGCCTTTCTCCCGTCCATCCCTCACCACGGCCTGGTGACCTACCGTGCGCAGGTCGCCGCCCCCTCGGCGCAGGCCACGCGCATGCGCCGCACGGCGCGTTCCACGCTCGACTCGGACACCATCCTGCTGCCGAGTGACGGTGAGGAGCTGCAGAACCAGGTGGACGCCGCCTTGCCCGCCTCTCGGGCCGCCGCCCCCCTCCCGGAGCGGTGGGGGGCCATGGAACGCCCAGGCCAACGGGATGCTGGCGGCAGCTGCCCATTGGGGGTGGTTGCTATACGATGGCGCCGCTGAGCGCCCCAAGGGATCGTTCCTTACTTCACGCGAGGTGGCCACGTCCTCAGCGCTGCGGCCCTCCGAGCCAATGGAGCTGGTCGGCCTGAAGCGCCTTGGTCGCCGCGTGGCCCACCGCATCCGCGACCATGCAGACGAGACGAGTTCCTTGCTGGCCCACTCTTCCGCCAGTGCGTGAGCTCAGCCCTCCGGGGTCGGTTGACCGCTGGCCCGAAAGGCCAGCCGACGCACGCAGAGGCGTACGGGCAGATCTCGAAGGCCATTTCTGCGATCCAGCGGGACTTCCTCTGGGACCGAGGCTCCGAGTGGCGCCGCCGCTTCCAGCATTTTACGACGGACGCGTGGCGGGCAGCCACTGCGGAGGTCCACGGTCCCTCAGAGTGCCCCAGCTTCAACGTCGAGGACATGACGGAGGAGTGGAAGCGAGTGTGGGTCCCATCGGACCCCAATTACGACGAGCAGGCATGTGCGGCCAGGTGGGAGCAGTATGCCTCGGAGGCGCGCGAGACCTTGCCGAAGCCTGCCGACGAATACGACGAGGAATGGTACCCCTTCTACGCTGATTTCTGGGCCGCCGTGCGCAAGGCCAAAGGCAGCGCGGGCTGCGACGGATGGCACTCAAGCGAGCTCAAGCTGATCTCCGAGCACTTCGAGTTCTTATTCCTCGAACTCTACACGCTATGGCGGGACACCTGCGAGACCCTGCTGGTCGAAAGGCCCGCCACCGATCTCCAGCACCTGATCTTCGCTTGGCGGGCTGTTGGGGTGCCAAGGAAGGACCCGACGCAGTCCCGGCCCATCGGTGTGGGGTCTGTGCTACTCAGGGCCTGGCCCACATCCTGCGAGCCCAGCCTGCCCACGCCACAGTGCGCCCAGTTCGCATGAAACGCCGGCTCCACGGTGGTCCACGCCTGCTGCCTATGGTTCCACGCCTGCCAGCACGGCTGGTGCGGACTGGAGCGCGACCTGTCCAAGTGCTACCTACGGCAACTTGCCGCATGCAGTGGCAGATGCGGCACTCCGCAGCGCCAAGACACTACGCCGAGTGTGTGCGGTGACCAACGCTGCTTGGCGGGGCCTTGGGAGGTGCCAGGTGGCTGGGGGGCTGGCCAGCGCGACGCTCTGGCCCAAGAGAAGCCTTGCTCAAGGGGACAGCATCGCACCGAAGGTGTACTGCAACGTACTTTCTCCGTGGGAGATCAACGACAAATTTACTCTTCATGGACGGCCGGTCCGCTGTCTTCGATTCATTCCCGCAGATGGAGTCCGACGTGCAAGCCACCAGCGCCTTCGATTCGGGCACGGACGATATCGAGAACGTCGGCAAGCGCCAGGTGTGGAAGCTGGGGGACAAGACGCGGGCCGAGCACATCGGCATCCTCGCCGTGCCCGGCGACCCCAACGCGGCGATCACGCCTTCCAGGGGCTGGGCCAAGCTCCGCCGGTGCTTGCACGCCATTCGTGGCCTCCCGGGAGGCAGCGAGGCCCGGGCCACGGCTGTGCGGACCTACGCGAAAACGCTGTCGACTTGGCGTTCGCCGGTTTTCTCTCTGCCACCACTCGACGTCGTCCACGTGGCGATGTCGGCGGTTCTTTCGACGCGGTGCGCATGGTGGGGGCCGCTTCTGGGCCTCCAACATCGACCTACACCCCACTTTCAATGCGGTCATGGTGGCCATCGAGCGCATCACCACTTGGGATCTCCGTTGGAATGCGCTCCTGGAGGTGAATTCCGTGGCGCTCTTCAAGGCCATCGGCCTCGAGTTCTTGCAGTGCGATCCAGAGCGCGGCGCGCAGTTCCGACGCGAGGTGGGCGAGCCTGATGTCCGAGTCCGCCGTTTGTGTGGTCGCCGACACATGTTCTGGAGCAGCGAAGAGAGGTTGCCGTTCTTCCTTCGCCAAATATGCCGGGCGAGAGCTCTTGCCAACTCTTCCGTTGCTCGCCGAGATGCGGAGGGAGTCGATCAGATCGACCTTGAGGCCTCCTCGGCCCGCACGTGGTGCACTTTCCGGGACTCGCTGACCATGGAGGACAGGATCCATTTGAAGATCTTCCGCTGTGGAGCGACACAGCCCGACGAGACGATGGAGCACCACCGGGCCTGAGCTTACTGCGGCCTGCCCGTCCTGCGGGGGTGCCCGTCGACCAAGTGCGCGCCACTACGTGGCCGAGTGCGCCGCCCTGGCCGGTTCCTGGCGGGAGCTGAACGACGCGCACCACATCCCGCCAGTCTGGTGGGCACGCTAGCCGCGGGCGACGCTGAAGACGGGATGGATAACGTTCCCGGTTCACCCGTCCGCGGCCCGCAGAGCGGAGCTCCCACATGGGGCTCGTCGCCATTGAAAAGATGGCAGAGGACTGCGAGGCTTTGAAAAGATCCTAGGGCATCCATGTGACTCGCCCGGATGTTCGACTTGTGAGTCTTGTATTTCAGCCTCTCCCCTCTCCATGTTCACGCTTCCCCAGGTTTTAACATTCGTCAGTTGTTCCTGGAGTACAACAGGCCCCCCCAACGTGTGCAACTCGTCTTGCCTACGTAGGCGTCCTCCTGTTTGCACGGCCATTGACTGACTGACTGACTGACCCTTGCATCCTTGCCCCTTCGGCCCATCCTTGGCCGCCTTCCCCCACCCCCCGACTTTCCGACGACAAGTGAAACCGCTCAGCAAAGGAAGGGAACCCCCGAATGCAGCCCAAGGGAATACCGGACGCATCCCCATCGATGATGGACGCCCCCCCCCGTATATCCCAGCCTTGCGCCCACAATTTCTGGTCCATTCGAAATCCCCACGAAGCTTGGGATTGGGGTCGACGTATCCCCTGTTGAGGTCGTGCCCGCGAATTCGGCGAGGAGCCGCTGCACAGGCGCTCCAGCGTCCCACCGGTCGAGCAGCTGGGCTGTGTGTGCGTGTGCGTGCGTGCGTGCGTGCGTGCGTGCGTGCGTGCGTGCGTGCGTGCGTGTGTGTGTGTGTGTATGTGTATGTGTGTGTGTGTGTGTTTGTGTGTGTGTGTGTGTGTGTGTGTGTGTGTGTGTGTGTGCGTGCGTGCGTGCGTGCGTGCGTGCGTGCGTGCGTGCGTGTGTGTGTGTGTGTGTGTGTGTGTCCCTTCATCTCTCTCTCTTTCTGTCTGTCTGTCTCGCTCTCGCTCTCTCTCTCTCTCTCGCTTTCTCTCCCTCTCTCTGCTCCCTCTCTCTATACATACAGTGCCGTTTTTAATACATGCTCCGCGTGCGGATCATGTATTAAAATCGAGGACAACACTGGGAACCAACGCCCGTGCGATGGCGAGGGGAAGGGCGAGGGAATCGGCCACGCGCAGAGGGGTGTGTGGGTCGGGGGTGGGCAGAAACGGCCAACAGTGACACGTCGATTAGTGAGTTGTCCGTTGTCGGTTCTCGAGAGGGCGCCATGGCCATTATTTTCCAGGCCTGCGCCCGCCAGGTTTGTGCCTCAGGATGTTTTCACTAAATCACGTTTTGCTAAAGGGAGGTCTGTCCATCCCCGATCCCTTCCCATCCCTTACCATGGCGCAGATCCCCTCTATGTTCGCGCAGTCGGACGTCGAGCAGGGCGGTGCTCGCGAGAGGGTACGCGATACATCGTAGAGTACGGCGTAGCAGGGCGCAGGAGAGCACGGCATGGCGTAGCATGTCACAGCATGGCGTGGCGTTGCGTAGTGAAACGTTGCATCGCAAAGCGTTGCAACGCAAATAATGGCATTGCATGCGGAGGTGAGGCCAGCGTTGCAGCGGGAGCACGATTCGGAGCGAGCGGAAACCCGACAATGAGGCCAGCGCTTCGGTGGGAGCAGCATTTTAAACAAAAGTCCAAGCGAAAACCCAACTCCCGGGAATCCTGTGTGTAAAAAGCAGTGTGCAGAGGAGGGCTTGACATCTTCTGGACGTCGGCAGAGGAGAGAGGAGAGTGGTGCAATGGCGACCCATGACAAGAAACACCTTGTTTCGATTGTTTCGCCATGGAAAGCGTGACGTTCCCACGCCATAATTCGATGGACGTCCTGGGGTCTGAGGGTTGGGTTTGTTGTGGAGCGTTTCTTGTGGTCTAGCCTCCACTGTAGTATTCAGATCTGGTACTTGTGGATCGAACGGGGCGGGGGAGGAGCAGGCGAGGCGTGGGAAGGGTGAGGGGATCGGCCACGCGCAGAGGGGGGTGTGGGGGAGGTGGGGAGGCGAGGGCCTTACCTGCAAGGCCGGCGCCTTCTCAGAAGCAGTCTCCTATTGGGAAGGCCCCGGCCGCGGTGAGCCTCCGCCTCGCACAGGTCCCACGGCCTGGATCCAATGGGCCGCCCCGACCAGCCAGGCCCATCCAGACCTCCCTGCTCCCTCCTCGCTCTCCTCCTCATACTCCTCCTCACTTCCCGTCCTCTCCATCCAGAGCCTCCGCCTCCTCCGCCCTCCCTCCCTGCCTCTCCCTCTCTCTCCTCCTCCTCTCCATCCTCCTCCTCCTCCTCTCCATCTCCCTTCCTCCTCTCTCCCCCTCCCCGTTTATCGTCAAATCGTCTGATCGTCGCCCGATGCTGCCCCCTCCCCTGGCGGCCGCCGGGAGGCCCTCCCTGCGGCAGCAGACCCTCGCTGCGAGCTTCCCCGGCCGCTCGTGGAGGCCCTCGCGGAGTCGCGGGAGATCCCGGGTGCCCCAGAGGGGGGCTTCCCCCGCGCGCCCCTCCTTGCGAGGTATGCTGCCAGGGGCGTGCCTGGCTCGAGGTGTCCCTGGCCTCGAGTGTCCGCAGGCCCCCTTGCGCTGCGAACCAATCACGACGACAGTTACATAGATTTATCCACACATGTTTACATACACCTAAACTTTCACACACGGGTATTCGCATGTCTACGTGCATATCGAGGCGC